CATGCCGCTGGGAGATTGGTAGACAATAGAATTAGGGGTAACAGCCCGTTCTACCAGATGCACCTGTGGGCAAGGCACGGAGCCCTCTCAGGATTCAGAGGGGTGCGAGGGCCGAGGGCAGAGCCTGGCCACGCAGTTCAGGATATAAGGCGAGCTCCGACTCACAGTCGGGGCTGCTGCGATCTGGAGTGGAACTCGTCGTGCCGTCGTCATTGTGATCTGCACTCTCTTCGAGCTATGGGTCCTGCAGTATGTTGGCTGTCCCAACCCAGTGTGTGGTTGTCCCCTAAGCCTGTGAAGGCCGGAATAAAAGAGAGTACCTCCTACTAGTATATGTGAATTAGCACACTACATTTGGTGTCCGGAGTGTTAACAAAAAATATATTTTTTATATATATTGTAGGGTTGTTAGGAATTTAGTTTTTTTCCTTTCGAATCCTTGAGGGGGATATAGATTATGTCGAAGTTCGCGGAGAGGAAGGCATGTCCTTGGACGAAGAGGACGACGGCGAAGATGGTTCTTGGGCAGCCCCGGCAGTCGAGACCCCAGCAGGGGTTCCCGGAGTGGAAGTCCCGACAGGGCAGTAGGTGAAGCACGATGATCTCTCGCCACAGCCGGCTGGAGAAGGGCTGCAGGCACTTGGCGCATGCATTGTGGAGCTGCTCTCCGCGGTGACGGCGCTGGTGGGGCAGCTGGGCAAGGAAGAGCCAGTGGAGGGGGCTGCGGATCAGGGGCAGCGAACGGGCGACACTCCACCGTCACTGCTGAACAAGGGCAGGTATCGAGTCGCGCAGAAAGTAACCTACCGCTGATGGCTTGTCCGGGGGCGCCTTCCCTCGTGCAGCGGCTGCCGTTTCTCAAACTATTTTTGGCTATGGGCGGTGATTGGGCAGCCATCTGGCAGTGGTTCTCCACCACTTGCGAGCTTCCGGGGTGGTCCATTGTGGAGGCACTACGTATTCTTCCCACCGCGCTGGATGACGCAGCCTTAGCGGCATTTTTTTCCATTCCCGAGGTGGACAGAATGATGCTGCGTCAGGCGTATTGCCAGTTGATGGCCGTTTGTGACCCAACGTGCGGCGGAAAATCGTCATGCGGAGTCGAGGGGGGGGAGACTGAGACGCCCCTCGCCTTCCACAGTGCACTACTGTCGCTGGCCCAGGATCCATACCCAAGGATGGAGCGGGCAGGACTGGATTCTCTGGTGCTAGAGAAACTGTTGGCGCTGGCTCAGAAAATTTACGTTTTTTTGCCGGCCACAGAGGAGGACGACCTGTCCTCGATTCAGGTAGCCAGATGCATTCAAGCCCACTGTAACCTGTGATGACGTGCCGGGGTGGCAGCCGGGGTTGGATTTCCATTAGGAAATTGTGACCAGGAGCATCAAGAGTCTCCTTGGGTCTGCGCGTCAGGTAGTTGGAGCCCGCGGGGGTGGGTCGGAGCAGGACGATGACGGGACCAGTGGAGGGGGACCTTGCCTCCGCTTCAGGAATTTTCCGATGTATTTATTATGAGTAAATTCGATGTGGGCCGCACGTCCCTGATGCGTCACCATATTAATATGGGTGGCGCCGCTCACATTCGTCAGAACTCATTTCAGTTTAGTCCGAAGGAAAAGGACTATATTCATCAGGCGGTCGACGAGATGTTGGCCGCCGATATAATCTCTCCATCAACCAGTCCGTGGGTGCTCCCATAGTCCTGGTTAAAAAGAAGAACAGGAGTTTGTGGTTCTGTGTGGACTTTGGGAAATTGAATAGGGTCTCTGCGGTGGATGCGTATCCACTCCCACGGATGAATGATTCGTTGGATGCCCTGTCAGGGGCACAGTTTTTCTCCACCCTGGATCTATTGTCAGGGTTTTGGCAGTTTGCCCCTGGATGAAAGTTAAAAATCCAAACTGTGTTCCAGACACCAAGGACTGTTTCAATTAAGCATGCTTCCGATGGGGCTTCACTCAGCTCTGGCCATGTTCCAGCGACTTATGTAGTTGGTACTGTCGGGGCTCCAATGGGAGTCATGTTTGATCTATTTGGATGACGTAATTGTCTTTGGCCACACATTTCAGGAACATCTGCAGTGGTTGCGTGTGGTATTTGTTAAAATGCAGGCGGCTATTTTGAAATTCAAGCTGCAAAAATGTTACCTCCTTGCAAAGATCGGTTCGATACCTGGGGCACATTGTTAGTGAGTCCGGGATTGCCATGGACCCTGACAGGACTGCATGCATAAGTGGCCTACCCCCATGTCAGTGGGTGAGGTCCGCAGTTTTGTGGGGTTCGTGTCGTATTACCGCCGCTTCATGCCCTGGTTTGCGACAATCGGGAAGCCACTCCACATTTTCACGGAAAATGGCCAAAGGTTTTGGTGGGGGACTGAGGAGGATGCCGCATTTGTTACGCTGGGCGACGGCCTCATGAACGCACCCCCTTCAATACCCCAATTTCTCCTTCCATTTGTTGGATATGGACGCCAGTGATGCCGGGATCGGCGCCGTGTTGTTGCAGGTCGAGAACGGGGTGGAGAGTGTGGTCGCTTATGGTAGCCGGGTGCTGTCTCCCACAGAGCAGCGCTATTGTGTTACATACCATGAGTTGTTGGCTATCGTGCACTTTGTAAAACAGTACCGCCCGTACCTCTACAGTAGGCAGTTTATAGTGCACACAGATCACGCGGCTTTGCAATGCATGCTACGTGTTAAACAGCCGTCCATGCAACTCTCGCGATGGTTGGAAATCTTGCAAGATTATTATTTCAAAGTCACCTATAGGAAAGGGTTACGCCACTGCAGCGAGGATGCTTTGTCACGGTTATCGCCGAAGAGCCAGTGTGCACGTTTGATGGGCGCTGGCCGTTGTATCCTGGCGAGCCGGGCACCGTGGTTGCATCGGTAGATGCTCCGCCACCCATACCGGAGGTGGCACGTGCTACTACTATTGGTCTTGCGCACGAGGAATGGGGGTGCCTCCAAGCGGCGGATGCCTCCTTACTAAAGTTACAGCGCCGTGTTAATGCACCAAGCGATTGGAAGGGTCCAGGGGGTATGTCCCCCATGGTTCTTCGAGATGGACTACTTATGCGCTGGGATACAGAGGTACGGTATCATTGTGCCAACTGCTCTGCAGGGTAGAGTAATGAGAGCTGACCATGTGCGATTGATGCACCTTGGGGTGCAGAAAACGTTGTCTACGTTGAAGCGGGACTTCTTTTGGCCTGGGATGACAGTGGCCATTCACAACATGCTCAAGGGATGTATAAAATGTGCCTGCTGAAAGCCTCTGCTGAGACTGACCCGACCACCGCTGCAGTCCATTGGGGTGTCCCATGTAAACGAGCTCATTGGCCTCAACATCCTCGGGCCATTTCCCACCACTCCAAGGGGAAATAAATTCTTGCTGGTCGGTTTAGAGTACCTGTCATGGTGGCCGGTTGCATGGCCTCTTCCAGATCACTCAGCGGCGTCCATTATGGATGCGTTCTTGCATGATTATGTATTGGATAAGGGTGCCCCGGAACGACTCCTCATGGACCAGGGCCGAAATTTTTTTTCAAAATTGTTGCAAGAGGTATGTCATTTGTTGGGTATGAAGAAAATTCGAACCTCGCCCTAACATCCCCAGATAGACGGGATGGTAGAGAGTTTACATAGGACACTTACTGTACGTCCATATTGTGTCAACGAGGCACAGTCCAATTGGGACCTACACGTTCCAGGAGTTCTTGTGGCTATAGCATGGCCCCTCTTGCCTCTACCGAATTCTCCACGTTTTTTTATGTACGGGAGAATTCGAATGTTGCGTGGATATTGCAGTGTTCGTCGTCCTGCTACGGGACGTTTGGAGGTCAGCGGACAGCTGTTTTTTTCGTTTGGCGGAGGGGGTGATGTAGTGACGTGGAATGAGTCACTGTAGCGTGTGCCGCTGGGAGATCGGTAGACAATAGAATTAGGGGTAACAGCCCGTTCTACCAGTTGCACCTGTGGGCAAGAAACGGAGCCCTCTGGGGATCCAGAGGGGTGCAGGGCCGAGGGCGGAGCCTGGGCACACTGTTCAGGTTATAAGGCGGGCTCCGACTCAATCAGGGTTGCTGTGATCTGGAGTGGAACTAGTCGTGCCATCGTCGTTGTGATCTTCACCCTCTTCGAGTTGTGGGTCTGGAAGCATGTTGGCTGTCCCGACCCGGTGTGTGGTTATCCCCTAAAGCTGTAAAGGCCGGAATAAAAGAGTACCTCCTACTAGTGTGTGTGAATTAGTACACTACAGATGTATGAACCAGGTAACCAGTGGAGAAGGTCTTATTTATGCAAGAGAACCCCGAGACACGAGCTTGCGATAATCTATTAAAATAAATTATGCATATTGTGTGAACCTCCAAATACAACAGAAGGGATAATGTAGGGATAGTGATAGGGCTAGGTAGTGCTAGGGGTAAGGGGTAGTAATAGCGGTAGTGTTAGGGTAGTTATAGTGGGTTGGGGTAGTGATAAGGGTTGTGTAGGCCTGGTTGTAAGCTGGGGCATGGATTAGCAGTAGCAAGATGGAATAGCGGCGAAGAGATGGGGGTTGTTTTAAGGGAAGAACAGAAGCCGGTTCGTGAAGATGATGGTACGTGTACTGCAGTAGGAGTTGGTTTCAGTGGAGGAGAGAGAGAGAGAAGGGAGAAGGAAAGAGCGAGACTGCATGCAGGGTGGCAAGGGTGGTACAGGAAGAGACGGTAGAGACTGGGAGCATGGAGGACCGGATGGGACAGTAGTGTATCTGGGTAGCAAAGCAGAATTGAGCCTGAATGAGCGCTCATATGGGCTACCATCATGCAAGAAACGGTCGGTGTTAAAATTGCCAGCGCCAGGAGATCAATTCTTCGAGGTGTGAATTGCAATCCCAGTAGGCTAACCATTTACATAGCGGCAGCGTCCCTATCAGTCACTCAAACAAACCTCCAAACAAATGAGTCTCAGACTATTCAAGCCTTGGGACGTTGTGACCCTTGTTCAGTTTACCGTGGCCAGCATCAGCACCGTCAGTAGCAGCTGCGTTGATCCGGACAAAAGCCGGGAAGTTGGCACCACGCGGCCCATGTCCAAACGGTTTTGGGACAACTTTTGCTGGAAGTGAGAAAGGACACAAGTATGCATGTTGAACTTCTTTCAGACAGTACAATAGCCAACCACACTAATCGGAGGTTCGGGGGAAGGACAAACTAAACACAGCAACCAGCAGTTCCTAAAGAAATTGGTTCTCATTGTAGTAGTGGTGTAATGTATAATGTAGTGTTGTGCATAAATGTGGTCTGTAGTGTATTTTGTATGTGAACTTCGTTTGCACCGTACGCAACCAACCCTGCTAATTGGATAACAGAATGACGATGAGCTGTGGAGTGTTTTGTCCTTATAGCTCGATCCAGGTGAATACGTTCAATTCAAGACTTCAATAAGGTGAAACAACATGAAAAAAATTCAAATAAACAGTGCGAGTGCAGTTATTTGATCGAGACAATTTTTTGTAAGCTAGTTTTTTTTACAATGTACGAGAATACTTGATATTGCCTTCATCGTGTTTGTGTGTGTATGTATATATATAATCTACAATTCAAGAAGATAGGTCTTGATTTTAAGTCGTCACCAGCAACCATCTAAAGTTGGGACAATTAACCTTGGAAAACAGTGATAAACGTGGATTGGTATGGTTGATTTCTGGAACTTAGATCAAAAGATTGACTTGGTATTTTTTATGAAAGTAATTAACTTACAATTTTTAAGCTATGCATATTCAAAATGTTTATAAAACGTACAACTTTACAAAGCGTGTTTTTAAACCTTCATGTAATCTTCTTGGTTCTTTCGGTAAAGTCACGTAGAAGGGAAGTAATAAAATAATAAAAATAAAACATAATAAAACAATTCTCACGACGTTTCGGCCACAACGCAAGCAGCCGTCCTCAGGTGAAAACCAGGTCCGTCGAGGCGACAGAGTCTGAATGAAACAGCACACGGGCTTAGAGCATATATATAAGCTGGGCGCATTGACAAAGGAATTTGCATATCAACAGGAATTTAGCATATTTATGGGAAATGCAGGAATGTAATTAGTACTGCATATGCATGTGCATTATGCAGGATTAACAGCATCAAAGGGAGCTGCAGTTACTGCTGCTGCAGCAGTTGCTGCTGCTGCTGCAGCAGCAGTAACTGCAGCTCCCTTTGATGCTGTTAATCCTGCATAATGCACATGCATATGCAGTACTAATTACATTCCTGCATTTCCCATAAATATGCTAAATTCCTGTTGATATGCAAATTCCTTTGTCAATGCGCCCAGCTTATATATATGCTCTAAGCCCGTGTGCTGTTTCATTCAGACTCTGTCGCCTCGACGGACCTGGTTTTCACCTGAGGACGGCTGCTTGCGTTGTGGCCGAAACGTCGTGAGAATTGTTTTATTATGTTTTATTTTTATTATTTTATTACTTCCCTTCTACGTGACTTTACCGAAAGAACCAAGAAGATGAATCCCTGCAGTCACGAAAGCTTTAAACCTTCATGTAATGTTAAGATGTTTCGCACAATGCGCCAAGTTTTATCTTATTTTGTTGGTGTAAATGTTAATAGTTGGGAGTATATGTAATATTTAGCAAGCTAAATAAAATGATACTTGACACTCTACGAAACAGAATTACACTTGGCTGTATATGGAAGCGTTTCTCGGGCAGGTGCATTATGGTGCTCTTATAGACGAGTTAAAAGTGGTAGACACGGCACAAATGTTTAGTTAAATCTACATAGTGCTATTTATAACTACGAATAACTACATAAGCTGCATAACTACAAATATCTACGTTAGCACATTGCATTTTGAACTAAACATGAAATTGTAATACTGCACCAGTGCATGCTCACCTCTCCGACCTCCTCACTTGTGTTGGACACCACATTGAGAACTTGGCTATAAGTGGGTCTGAGGTTGATCATGAGGTAGCTTTATCCTCTTTACGGAAAGAAGAATGCCGAAAAGTGCCTTCAGGCAAAAAAAATACTCAACTGGGGTAGGCCAGCATTAGTTCAGTTATGACGGCTGTCAAAGCACCTCTGGCATTGTTGAAGTTTTGAGGTGGGGGGTTAAGACTTGCACTTAATTGGAGAGCATTGAGGAAGTTTTAATATTCACATGCGCAGGGTACGTCATCGTTATAATGCAACGTGGCCAGTTCTCCAGACTAACAATGAAGTTGCCGGCAAAGAAGACCTCCATTAGGACATCCGCCTTAGAGGCTGAGCAATTAAATGAGCTCATGTGCAGGTGATAAATGGATTGTTAGAACTCAAGACTGATATATAGACGGCTCTGGAAGGCCTTCTTACAGCAGTGTATAAATCCTGAGTTGATGATTTTTCGCCATAGAAGGAACACTGCTGATTTCCAACTGGGTAATATTCGTGATATTGATCCTCTAAATGAAATAACAACCTTGATTACCTTTGTACAAAACTGTTTGTTCGTTTAGTTTGTTGTCCTTCCCCCGCACCTCCGATTACCATGGTTGGCTACGTACAGTGCCAAAAAAGTTAAACATACATACATTATGTTCTCCTATAATGCTGGAGTAGTTGCATTACTGAATACCACGTTATGGAAACATCGCGTTATTTTAAATATATAATATCGGGTAAAGCAGTCCTCGATAACACGTGAGATGTGTACTCAGGCTTAACAAAGACTACGGCACGTGGGTAGCATCGAGAATCATCCAGCAGCACTCGAATACCTTTTTGTGATTCTAAGCCGAGGCAGCTTTACGACACTCGCGCGATATCGTTCCATTCGCTCAAATCGCAATCAAGGGACTCCTCTAGTTACGAACGTTCGACTTATGAACTTTCAGAGATACGAACCAACCTGTTATTCTGTCCAGTTGCCCGTTTGGACCGAGAGTCGTAAGTTCAACAAGCACAAATGGCGGTGGTTGTTTGATATCAAGCACTGGTTAGTTTTGAATCTCAGAACCCAAACACTGAAATGTTTACTAAGGTGTTGGCAGCTATTCACGATACTATTGCCTGTTACAAGTTGATTTATGAAGAGAAGAAGAGTGACTGTGCAGACATCTCTTGGTAAATTGTTCAAGAGAGTAGAGAGGAAATACGAGCACCAAAGGGAATTAGCATCTACACCTACAGAACATGAAGAATCAGGGGCATACTCTTTGGTTCTTTCGGTAAAGTCACGTAGGTAGAAAAATAAAATGAAACAAACATTTTTTTTAATTTAAAGTTTTCGTGACTGCAGGGATTCATATTCTTGGTTCTTTTCGGTAAAGTCACCGAAAGAACCAAGAATATAAAAAATAAAATATCACGACGTTTCGATCGCAACACAAACAGTCGTCCTCAGGCGGAAAAAATAATCCAGCAGTGGAACTGCTGCAGTCACGAAAGCTTCAAATCAATCAGTGGCATCTCCATCTACAGGAGATTATACAACTTTTTAAGACAATCCGTGTTTAGTACACATGCCTTGCAACATGTTTGGAATTGACAGGGGTAAAGTTGGGCTTAAGAACAAATAGACTGACGAACAGACCTCTGGAACCAAACTTGTTCGTAAGTAGAGTCCCTGTATATCCAATGTGCATCCACGGAATAAAAATGTGTCTTCCCAAATACATTAATAGTGTTATATTCAATTTGCGTTCCGAAAACACGTGTTACAGGAGAACAGACTGCAAACACAAAATAAACGTAAATTAGAGACAAGCCCCCTCCCCCCATACATTGATAAAACATCATGATGCATGTTTGTTCATTGGAGATGGTAGCCTTGTCGTTGCCCCACCTGTGGCATGTGTAGCCGGTCCACCCTGTTCCTCTACTGTGAATCTTTAACGAGGAAAATAGGTCGGCTACATAGCCAATAAAAAAAAATTCGGATATAAGTAGGTATATACTACGTGTCGTGTTGTCCTCCGGAAAAGTGGGCAACTCCACAACAGTTGAGCACCAGAGATTTGTGGAATGGCAAAACTTAATATCAAAGTGCTCTTAAAAGGGCATTTGCGTAGTTGCAATAATGATCATATACACTCTCCACAACACCACAGCCCAGTCCCGCAGCATGGAATCCGCTCAAATCTAAATTATGTTAACAGCAGCTTGTATCGACTAACATTTAACATACAAACGTCTGCCAAAACATATGTAATGCCTCTTAAATGCCCTAGTTCCTGATAATACTTAAACGAAACAACACGTTTCACAAGGCTATCACTATCTGCAGCCCTGGTGGTTTCCACTAGATTCATCTCGAACAGTCGGCTCGATGGTTACCACGATGCCGATCTCCAACAGTCTCTGAGGCAGCGACTCGATCGTGGGCCTCGCTCCCCCTTATTTATCTGTTCGGCCATACCCTGGTAACTTCCAGCACTCCCCCCCCCCCCCCCCCCCCCCGCGGTAGATTCTTCCAGCATTCTCTATTGTCTTCTACTTCTCTTCTCGAACCTTTCTCTCACCTGTTTCCACCCATCTCCATTGACCCCACTATAACCCTTGCCACATACAGAATACCCTACAAAAGAATTAAAATTAAGAATCAGTTTTACCATTTTGTGAGGTGTTAAGATTTGAAAACACGACATAGAGCATACCTTATGCAGGAAATAATGTCTGCATTAACCACACGTACTTGTGCTGAACATACAAACAAACAAACTCTGATAATATGTGCATTGTCTTTGAAACTGATTGGCCTACACCATAGTATTTTATGGCCTAGTCTCAGTGTCAGACCAGAGAACGCCAAAGGACGAACAATATTTTGAAACTTGCATTGCCTTTGTATTGTGCACCTTTTGGCGTTCTCTGGTCTGACACTTCGGTGAATGCTTTTGTTCAATGGCTAGTCAAAAGCCGTTACTGCTGGATGGTGTATGCTCCTTGACAAGTCAAGTTGGGCACGATTGTGTATTATTAATAGATAATGGGTTAAATTGCTGCCGAATCAAAGCACTTGTTGTCGTTAAACCAGCCACCACCCTACACAGCCAATTAGTAAGGTTTGTCACGTAAACATAACATGCAAATTCGTTACTAGTACAGCACGCCAGTAGCAAAATATGCGAATTGGTTTTTTACCCTTTTATCTGGCAACAAAACGGACACCTTTTTTACTAGGAGTCGTGTTTGCATTGACCACAATACATGCGGCCAGAATGCAAACAAAAAACACAACGCTGATAATGTATGCACTGTCCTTAAAATTGATTGGTCTACACCTGAGACAGCTTTTCTTAGAGCCTAGTCTCACATGGTGTTGAACAAGATGACGCCAAAAGGTGCACAACTCAAAGACAATGCACCATCAGCGTATGAGAGCTCGGTAAGCATTTACACCATTGGAACCTCCTTTGCCAGTAGGAAAAGATGAACATTTTTTTTGTCAGTTTTGTTGGCAGATAAAAGGGCCGATCAACTGTTGTGATGTTCCGTGAGGATTATAATAATTAAATCTAAAGATTTACTCAATGAAGGTACCTACCTTCAAATTAAACGAGACCAAACCAACAACACATTGGAACGTAAAACAACGGCAATCATTGCCAAGTCATCAATTCCCAAGGAAAAGCAATACCTGATCAAACCAAGAGCCTCAAAACCACGAAGACCTTTATGGGCTACCAAAGATTCACAAACCTGATGTGCTATTAAGACCCATATTTAGTACAATAGGCTCTGCCACATACAACCTAGCACAATACGTAACGAAACAAATACAGCCCTACATCAGTTGGACCCCTTCATAAAAAACAATCTGAACATCTCGTAAACATAATTAAAGATATTAAGCTTGACCCAAATGATATTCTCAAGTTTTGATGTGACTTCTCTATTCACGAAGGTTCCAGTCAATGAGCCAATTAAATTACTTGAAACTCTAGTAACAAACACAGGTTTAGCCAAATATATCCTTTGACTAGCTGAACACTGTTTAAAAAATACATATTTATTGTGGAAAGATGATTTCTATAAGCAAAAGGTAGGAGCAGCAATGGGCTCTCCTCTATCTCCTGTGATAGCGAATTTGTACATGGAAAATTTTGAAATAAAAGCAATAGCTTCAAGCACACTAAAACCCTCTGCTTGGTTTAGATATGTGGATGACACATTGGTGGTCTGGCCACGCGGCAAAGATACACTTAACGAATTTCTAAATCATCTCAACTCAGATTAATTCTCCAACAAAAATGTTACGCATACAATAAAAGGAGCATGGACTCGAGACTAATAAAGCGAAAAAAAGTCAACATCTGAAAATGTTGCTTCTGCCTCTACATGAATGTAATAGATGTAGGCATTGTCTCAATAAGGTCCATCATGTCTTTGTCGGATACAAATGGTAGAATGGTGCTGCTTGCTGCCTCACGGTTCACGTTAAAAAAGAGCAGTGCTCGGTTTCAAGTTCAAAATTTTCCAAAAAATTTGCTCGCAGTTACTAATCTTCATTTATTATTAAACGTGAGCGCAGTTGGTCACGTATGGTGCGAAATAAGTTAAACATTAATTTAGATTTTAAACCTTCGTGATTGCAGGAATTCATATTCTTGGTTCTTTCGGTAAAGTCACGTAAATAGAAAAAAAATCTAAATTTTAAATAAAAATAATAAAATTAAATTATAAAAAAATTGAAAACAATAAAAGCAAAAAAACCCACGACGTTTCGATCGCAACACAAGCTGTCTTCATCAGGCGGAGAGAAATTGTATTTAATTATTTTAATTAAATTTTTTAATTTTAGATTTTTATTGTTCTATTTACGTGACTTTAACGAAAGAACCAAGAATAAGTTGAATTTACATTGTAGCACATTTAAACTCTGCAGGGTGCTTAAACCCTCAGCTTTAACCATTTGTTTAATGCACTGCACCAAAGTCGAGTAATAATGATGGCAAGGGGCAGTGTGCAAGGGCCGATCAATGGGTGACCGTAACAGGAAGGCATACGGGGTCACGAAAGGGCGACAGTGGTGGGAAGGAGTGGAGTGGCGAGAAGAAGGTAGAGGAAGGGAATGATGGGCAGTG